AGAGTTTTATATATATATATACACACACACACATATATATATGAGAAATACAGATTTAAAGCTGGTATTAATTGCTCTGACATTTGGAATCTAACGATGCAAACTACTTTTATGAGTCATTCTTTAGGATTTGCATTCTGAACAAAAGTAATTTGGGGAAAGTTATTGATGTTACTGAACTTTTTATTCCTTGTTCTTAATTTTCTCAATTCTATGCTTCTAAAAAACGTTAAATTTGAAAGCTTCCTTAGTGAAACTGAGTTACTCCTATGTAGTGGAGTACTACAACAATAGTATAATGAAAATTTCATTTCATATTACTGCCTTAGCATCACTATAACTTTCAAAAGCTTTAAATTTTCTGTTAGATTGTGATGATGTCAGCAATATAGAAAGTCATGATCATGTACAGTTTTTTTGGAAAACTTCTATTTTTCAAATCATTTTAATTTTTTTAAGTTTGGAAATGAAAAAAGAAAGTACCCAATATCATGTGAGTTATAATTTTTTTTATTTTGTTTGCATAGTGTTTTTGCTACAGTACAGGAGTCAAAGGTGTATCATAATCAGATGTGGATTTGATAAGCATATCTTTCAAGAATTTAAACCTAAGATGGACTTATACTTGAAAATTAGTGTCTAAAAAAGTTTGAATTTTGTAAGTGAACGTCAAGGTGAGGCAGCAACTCAGAATTCCAATGGCATGAATGTCCTCCCTGTATGCTGTGCTTACTTTTTAAATGCAAGAAATTGCAAAAATACACGTCCTATGTATACTACCAATGCAAAATATATAAATAATTTGGTGACAACACATTTGAGAGGAAAACCCAAGTAGAAGTTTAATGAACTTTTTTCTCCTATTAGGCAGCTATGAAAAAGAATTGAAATCTACAAAGGAAATAAAACTTGAAAGAGGGAGAAATTAATTTAAAAAAAAAGATGCACATTTAAATAGTAAGTTCTCCAATAGCCAGAAATGTTTAGTAAAACAATTCCATATACATTCAGCAAATTGTAACAATATTCTCTTCAAAACCACATTTCTAAGAAGAGGAAAACTCAAAAAAGACATAATGCAACAAAAGGAACTAGAAAGTAAGCATGCACAATAAAAAGAAATGTAGAAGGAAAAATAAAAATATCACAAAGATGAATGTCACATTAGAGACTTAAATATAAGCAGGACTATAAACATAGTGAAGAGGATTAAGTAGATACACAAACAACAGAAACAACAAACACATAAAAATATAAAAATAAAGTTCAGAAATAGAAACATGACAATGATCTGATACTTATTTGGTGTCCCTAAAGAATAAACAAACAAAAAATAACAGAGCAAAGAGAACAGAGATTATTTAACACCTGGTACAAGAAATGTTCTTAAAATAAAGATTTGGATCTTTAAAAGATAACATTGTGTTCCAGGAAAAAAGAAGCAAAAAAAAAAAAAAAAAGTACAGAATGATCACCTAAAAGGTATAGTCTAGTTAAATTACTAAAAATAAATAAAACAGAAACTACAAGGAGATGATGAGATAGAAAAAGCAATGAATCTACAAAGAGTAGAGTGAGTTGGAAACTATCTCAGGGCTGCTCCCAAAACAAAATACTCACAGCCAGAGAAAAAGGGAAGCTGTTCAAGTATAAAGGCAACCAAAAGGTTCTCTCAAAATTTTAAGATATCAGAGAATATAGTACCCCTTTATACACAGGAATGTGATGCTCCTTCATAAATTCACTGAGTGAAAAATTTCTGGTCAACCTGAAGATAAAGCAGAATTTTGAAATAGAAGTGATTGTATGGTAAGCATTGCATCCTTTAAATGTAAGAAGACTGAACAGCTCAAAGTGTCATATATAGATCAAATAGAACTAAAAATCCTGGCAGTTCAAAAAAATAAAGGTTACATTAACAAAACGGAGGTTGAGTAGGAAAAAGGAGGAGATATACATGCTAATGCTCCATGGCAAATCCATAGCCACATAATACGGGATTAGCAAAAGGTCTCACTTCCTTAGCACTTGATAAACTTTTTGTCTGAAAAGCAGACAGCTTTTAGGGGCTGAGAAAGTCAGCTACAAAGTGAGGGAATAGTCCACTTAAGACTACCTTTGCCTTTGATATCAAATGCAAGTTGGGAAGTCTCTTAGGTTTGCTAAATGCCTAGAAAGACTCACAAAACTCACGGAAAGCTGTTGAATGCAGTTACATTTTAAGAATACAGATTGAAATCAGCCAGGGCAGAAGCTGCAGGGCAGAATCCTGATGAGTGTCAAATACACGGTGCGATCCTCTTGGTACATACAGGCTGACATTGCTCTCTGGAAATCCATGCGTGACAATATGCGTGGAATATTGCCGCCAGAGGAGTGCACCTAGCCTTGATGTCCAGAGTATATTTTGGGACTCAATGGTGTGAATCTAGTTGGCTGCTTTCATGACTGACCTCCATCCCCAGCCCTCCAGGTGGTCAAGCTGGGAGATACCACATTATTGCTGTTAACGTAGAGGTGACTCATGCTCTCTCTCCACCATACTGTCACTATCTGATTGCCCAAAAGCTTTAGGCAAACAAATAGTCCCCAACCCCTCATGACATTGCAAGAATTTAGAGCTTATATTCCAGAAACTGTTAACAAAGACCAGACTTCTTTTGAGGCAAGGTTCAGTTTTTTGTTTTTTTTTTTAAGATTTATTTATTTGTTCATATAGAACTGGGGTACAGGTCAGAGGCTCAGGGGCGGTGAGAGGCTTCACCAAAGGTAGAGTAGGGAGCAGAACAGGCAGATCGATGAAGTACACTGCTGAGGGGAGCAGTGGGCGGGTCAGGATTGGTCTGCCACGCCATGTGGTCACCTCTGGGGCAGGCGGGAATCGAACTCATGGGGAAGTGGCTTTCACTTCTTAGTGCTGTGCTTTAACCCGCTGCACCACCAGGGAGGGCCCGCAAGGTACAGTTTTTACCACACAGAAATTAAGAGGTCTTTTGCCAAAGAAAGATTTTAGCTTAACTTTCATTCCAATTTCTTTGATTTCAAGCAAATTTAAACTGCATTTAACTAGTTTCCTCCGTTTCTTTCTGTAGATTTAAAGATGCTTGTACCTGGTGCTCATTAAATGCATTTATTTATATACATGTATGTGTTTAAGATTTTGTATATGCCTAGCACAGTGAACACAGTGGGAAAAAACAAACATAAAATTTTGCCCATGTGTCCATGATATTCTTTTGGAGAAAACAGAAAATGAGATAAATAAGTAAAACACACTCTGTGTAATATGCTCTTAAGTGCTAACGAGGAAAATGAAACCGGAAAAGGAAATGTGTGTGTGTGTGTGTGTGTGTGTGTGTTAGAGAGATTTTTGCAATTTTGGGTAAAGTGGCAACAAAGGAAAAACTTGACAGAAATAGGAAAAAGGTGTATCAGAAATTCATAGTGAATTGAATAGTCAGCACAGGACTCTGAGGGCTACATGCCTGGCATATTTGAGGTTATGCTGGCGATAGGTCCAAGAGCAAAGCTTCTAATCTGAATTGATCTGTTTCTTCTTTAATGGAATCACCTTGACAGGGTGTTTAGAGATACCAGGTTTATGATGGTTAACTTTTGAGTGGGATTTGAGGAAATTTAAGTTCTGTTTTGCTTGATTTTTTTAAAAACTGTTTTCTTAACACAGCTCTGAGACCCATTTAAAACTATGCTCTTCTAACTGCATTCTGAGAATAATCATTACTAGTCATTTATTTATATATATAAAATCTATAATTGTATTTTTAGCAATTTTATTTTTATTTATTATTTTCATTAAACATTGCATTATAACAGTAAAGGTTATCACTGAACACTAATATGTATATATAATACATAATACATTAAGTCCACCAATTTCACTACACACAATACTATATTTAAATATGTATGTAATATATATATTATAATTTGTATGTGTGCTTGTGTATGTCTTCAGTGTCTTCTTTTTTGCTTTTTTTTTTAATTTATTTATTTATGCATACAGAACAGGGGTACAGGACAGAGGTGCAGGGCAGTGAGAGGATTCACTAGAGACAGAGTGGGGAGCAGAACAGACAGATGGATGAAGGACACCGCTGAGGGGAGCAGTGAGCAGGTCAGGAGAGGTCTGCCGTGCCATGTGGATCACCTCCTGGGCAGGGATCTAACCCATGCTCAAGTGGCTTTAGCTTCTTAGTGCTGTGCTTGAACTCGCTGTGCCACCAGGGAGGGCCCTTCAGTGTCTTCTGCTTAAGAAAACAAAGAAAATTATTTTTTCCTGGTGCTGTGAGATAAAGAATCATCTCCCATATAGGTAATCAATATTGTGTAATGTTGAGGAGAAAACCTTGAGTTGGAATCACTGTATTAGGAACTCTAATCTCAGCTCTGATGCTACTTGATTTTATGGCTTTGAGAAGTCAGATAAGTGACTTTCCTCTGACTTCACAATTCCCTCATTTAATGAAGCAAGTGATTTTTATGTTTACTTTCTGACTTACAACTTAGTAAAACTGGACTAATAAGGACATTCAAGTGTGTGTAGGAGCTCTCAGAGCCAATGTGTGCTGCTACACAGGTGTGCCCAGTTCTGGGGAATCCATTTAGTGGAATTTATGGAATTTATGGAACCCCTGTCAACACATATATAAGTACCTGCACAGACATGTCTAGGAGACTTGATTTTTGACATCTTGCTTGATCTCCTGAAGGAAGGCAGAATGGAAATGAGATTCAGGTCCTGTCTAGATGTTGTGACATATTCAGATTTCACTTGTATTATAAAATTATTGGTTTCTGACCATCAGTTCCCTGTAGCTAATAGCAGGCATGCTGAACAGTGGTTTGGTGTGGAATGAATCTCACCCACACACAGTTGCCAAATTAATGTAAAAGAAAATAACTCTAAAACTGATATCACCAGCTTCTGGGTAAGTGTTTTCAAAACTGAAACATGTTGAAACAAGAGCGAAAATAATGGGTAATGAAGGGACCTCTCTGTTCATGTTTGGCCAAGATGATAAATGTAGTTCCGGAACTTACGGGATCTTTCTATAGTCATTAGGCAAGTGGCCAACATTCTGCTAACCCAATTACAAAGACCAAAGGCAAGCTTGTGCTCTAATAATCTTACATCCAGAATAACAACACAGTTTGCCTTGCTTTGCTGCCTCTTTCACTGGCCTTTATCTTAAAATAGGGTACTTTTAATGTCAACCCTGTAGGGTATAAGTGATTAAATACCACTCCCAAGCTCTTGGCAGTCTGACATAGAGTAAGTGCTCAATCAGTATTAGTTGCTCTCATTTCTATTTTAATTCAAATAATGAATTGTGGTCCTAGTGATATGCTTACTTTACTGCCATTAAACACCATTGATGTTTGTGTTTAATTTTATGATAAATGGCACCCTTGCGATTATCTCATTAATTTCCCTCATCTTTCCCACTTCCTTGTTCTGTATTTGTTTACTTTACTCTAACACCTTTCTTTTCTTTTTTTCTCCCTTCTGTTTATTCTTATCATTTTTTTCTTACTTGATTTTATTGCCTCCACGTTAGAGTTTACTGTTTTCTAATTTAGCCTACTAACACTATTTAAGTGATTAAGAAAATACTTTCTTATATGTGAAATCAGGAGGGTGAAAGAAACCAATCTGTACTTTTCTTGTGGGATCAAGTTGTAGTGGATCAATGAATCTGCATGACAGTAAGATGACATGATAGGAGTAACTGAAAATATTGGGGGACAGGGAGAAATGTCCAGTTAACATGTTTTTGCCAACATGAAAAGAGTGTTCAAGCAGTTTTGCCATCCCATAACTCCACAATGGATAGAGGTACTGAGTGTGAGAGACAAAACTGGAAAAGGATCTGGGGAAAGGTCAAAGGTGAAACTACAAGTACCTTTTAGGCATCTGGTCTCTTTTCTAGAAACTGAGGGGAAGAGTAGCCAACAAAATATCCTTGCCCTCACATAGTTCACATTTTAGTTCTATTAACACTTTCCATTTCAAGGGCTGATTTTGAATGATTGTGAAAACAAGACAAGAAAGTGATTCTCTGCCCTGTAGTTAGTAGAGTATATAATTCAAAGTATAGGCATGCTAGATGCTAGATTTCATTCATTCAAAATTTAAATCAGTACTGTGTCAATAAGGTAATGTGTACTTAAATGAAATTAAACACCATTACTTCTGTTGTCCAAATAGTTATTTGATTTCTTTTTTATCAGTACAGCTTGCTTAATTTAAAATACACATTCTAATTGTGTATTCCAATTGACTGAGCATAAAATTGACTACCAGTAGGTACACAAGTAAACAAATGCTTGTTCTGTTTAATTTTTGTTTTTGCAGCTTTTTTTCACTTTTCATTTGATAAAGTATGATTTTCAGAAAGATGAGCCCATTAGAAATGAACAAGGCTGGTGCAGTCATGTGAAAAAAGGTAAGTGTCTTCTGTTTGAAGATGTCTCCTCAGGCAAAATTTCTGAATTTTTATTTAATTCCTACTCCATTTAGAAAAGATACAATGGTTAGTTCTACTATGCAGTGCCATTTATTTGGAAGTTCATTGCAAGTAGGATGACTTAATTGTTGCATTTGGGGGCCCCTGAACAGGTCCCTCAGATGGCAAATTATGAAAATTTAAAAGTGACTACTTATGTGGCTTGTTTCCTTAATCTACCACTTCTAGTTTGTAATAATGCCATAAGCCTAATATTCTACATCACCAAATTAGTACAAAAATGAATGACTTAATTTCTTATTTGAAGTGTAATAGAGTCATGCTAACCTGGATTTAGACCTAGACCCTGGCATCTGATAACTAACTAGACAGCTCCTTGGACAGGTCACTCAACCTGTGTAGAAATTGCATTTTCTTCTAATGAGAGGTAACACATTTCATGAAGTGATTGTTGGCAGTGAAATTACTTTTGACAGACCTAGGATGTATTTCAACTGCATTTCAGAGATGTTTCCTTGAAATCTTGACCTTGAAGATGCTCAGAAGACAGCACCTGAGATTCTCAGAGCTGGTCTGTCAGCCACCTTCCCTGCCTCTCACATGCAAATTATATTGAACTGACTGAGGATGAGGCCTTGGAGGTGCAGGAGAAGCTCTTACTCTAATGCTAATTGAGGAAGCTATTGCCTCCTCCCCTTTACTTCCTAAAAGAATGATTATGTGTTATTACACAGATGTAGGATCAGCTGTAGAAATAACCATGCTGCTGGAGAACTTTGCCTTTATATGCAAAGTGGAATGAAGGCATCCTCTCCTCTGTGCTTGGTGTCCCAGGATCCTGTCTCATTCCTTTCTTCAGAATTTACAGTCTCCCCCACTGAAGGCTGGATCCACATAGCAGTGTAGATTCCCAGTGAACATGATTCAGGTGATTTTTTTCCTTCGGCCAACAGTCTGATGCTAGGGGGTTTTCGGGGGTTAGGTTGGGATGGGGAGAGCAGGGGGTTTTCCCTTTTACCCTGACAACTTCAAACGTGAAGAAAAAGATTACAAATCTGTTTTTATGCTAAATAAAATATTGAAAAACCATATAAATAAGGCATATCTATCTTAAAAACAAGTTGCCCAATTTTTTTCCATTTCAAGACTTTTTATCAAATACCTGTCCCTATTTCAAGTTTATCAACAGTGTCCAGGAGAAAAGCAATTTCTAAAGAGATTTCAAAGAAAAATGAACAGGCTTTTCAAGTGTGTTTTATTGCAATTATAATAATATCAAACATTGGAACTTGAAATATTTATGCAACCTCGGGGTTTCTGAAAAAGCAGATTGACTCCAAATGTCTGTTTTACTATTTTGCAAATTTCTTTATGGGTTACTCAATTTTTTTTTTCCACTGAAGCATTGTGTCTTCACAGATATATTATGCCTAGGAGGGATAGATATGAACATGCTACAACCTTTCTCAGCATTTGCTAGTGCTAATTTGTCAGGAAAGAAACTGTCACCCTTGTTGTAAAGAAGAAAAACACAACATAAATTCTAAGGGAAAGCTAAGAAGCAGCTTGGAAAGTTCTGAAATAAGGGAACTATAGGCTGATGGACATGCCTTGGAGGAGAGATCTGGTTCCAAAAAACTCCCAACTCCAACATCTGGCACCTATATCACATGAGGGAAATTTCTTTAACCTCCTGTTTCTTCACCTGTAAAAGGAAGCTATTAGAGCCTCTATTGAGGACTAAATGGGATCCATTTGTAAAGTGCTCAGACTCCTGACAGTGCCCAGAGTGTTACCAAGGCAGCAATGATAATGGTGTGGGTGTTGATGGTGACAATGTCTCCTAGAGCAGAGTGAGCTTGTCTGGGCCGGGCCTGGGTGCCCCTGGAGGCCAGAATGTGGGAGTGGGTGCCAAGGAGAGGAGAGCAGAGTGTTGCAGTGACATGACTTGCTTTTCTGTTTGCTGCTCACACCCCCTTACCCCCCCACCCCCCAGGCATCATCACAGGTTGCGTCTCTGCAGAGGGCCTTGAAACCTCTGGGGACATGACTCCAGCCCTCCCTACCTTTCTGTTCTCCCTTAGAAATAGCTTTTTATCTTGCAGCTCCCTGGGCAAGATCTTGATTAATTTGAATAAATCTGATTGAAAAGGTATTTCAGATCTTATGTCCAAGTATATGTAAAACTAATTAAATTTCATATCCCTATCTCATTCTTACTGATTTCCAAAATAGCATTCCAGAGGCATAAGCCATTTTCTTAAACATCTGATAACATATTAATTAGATCTGATAAAGTATTATACAAAACCTTTGTATAAATCCTAGAGACAGGAATTTGATTTCTGGATACATGCCTTTCAGTCCATTTGACTTTGCCAATTTACTGCATTCTTCTGGGCCTTAGTTCCCTCCCTGTGAAGTAGGGAATGTAATACTAATTTTAAAGGATTTCTGTAAAGAATATATTGAATATATTTGCAGTTGCAAAGGGCTCATGAGACTTGATACAGAGTAAGTACCCAATAAATATTGCTACTATCTTTTTATTAAGATTATTTTTTTTTATTTAAAAATTTTTTTTTTTTTAAAGATTTATTTATTTGTACATACAGAACTGGGGTACAGGCCAGAGACTCAGGAGCAGTGAGAGACTTCACCAGAGACAGAGTGGGGAGCAGAACAGGCAGATCAACGAAGTACACTGCTGAGGGGAGCAGCGGGCGGGCCAGGAGAGGTCTGCCACGCCATGTGGTCTCCTCCGGGGCAGGCGGGAATCGAACTCATGCAGAAGTGGCTTTAGCTTCTCAGTGCAGTGCTTTAACCCGCTGCGCCACCAGGGAGGGCCTATTAAGATTATTTTTAATGACTACTGTTTATATCATTGTCATTAGTACAGTGTTATCTATGTATTCAAAATAAAAATAGGCTTTGGTCTCCTCTACTGACGAGGTAAAACAAGTGTAATATACCTTCCTTTACCTCTATTTTCCTTCCTGTTTTCCCACAGACATTTGTGTTCATGGCACTCTGAAAGGATGTGCTCAGAGTCAAATATGATAAAAATAATTCAGAGAAGTTAAAATGAGCAATCCTGGGTATATTGTTCAGATATAAATGGGTGCATAAAACTGTTGTGTATGATAATTGTATCAAATAGTGACTGAAAGTGCCTTTCTCTGTGTTCCAGGAGAGCCTGGACTTCTCATCTCTCCAGTAAATGCCAAGAATCCCTTTTTTGGTTATGCTGGGAACAAGAAACACACAGAAAAGAAATTGCTTTGTGATGTTTTTAAGAAGGGAGATGTTTACTTTAACACAGGAGATTTAATGTTTGAAGATCAGAATTTCCTTTATTTTTGGGACCGTATTGGAGACACTTTCAGGTACATGGTGTCACTAGTTCTGGGACTAGAAAGCAGACTCAGAGGAAGGCTCCATAGAAACATGTAGAATAGACTTCCTGTTATGTAACCTTGGGGGCAGAAGCCTTTTATCTCCATGTCTTTCCATTTAAAAAGACATTGGCCATCTGTTTCTAGATTGAAACATATATTCAATTTTAATGTCAACTTCTATAATTATTTTAATGTGCCAGTTTGGTCCAAATCAATGAGGTCTTCATTAGAATGTAGAATAGTCTTCTTAAAACAGACAAGCAATTGAGTAACGTATGTTTTAATTCTTGACCTACTGGTAAAATTAATGAAACAGACTGCTTTCCCTTTTTTATTAAGGTTATATTTATGAAAAGATTTGCTTTAACGAGTCAATCATTAGATAGTGACATTCAGATAGAAAGTATTCAAAAATACTAGAATGAATAAGTGAATTATACTTCCTGTTTATTCACTTTCTTGCACCAGGTTTTAAAGTCACTTTATGAAAGATTATTGTAAGTAAAATAATGCATTAAAAAGCTAATGGGGTTAATAGCTAGAAATCCAACGTCAGTACATTAAAAGACAACAATTTCCTTTCTTTTTTATATCTGTCATTCGAGATAAGAGAATATTTTTACTTAAGTCTTACTATATTACAAAATTAAGACGTATTTAATATTACTTTATTTTATGACATTATAAAAATTTTATTGTAAGCAATTTATACCAATGAGGCCCAGATAAAGCAATTTTAACAAAAATGTACTGATGTTTTTTATTTATTAAATTTTTTTCCTTAAAATGCCATTCATTTAGTGAAATTCCTGCTGAACTTTGAGAGCAAATAATTAAGCCCTGCTGTGAACAGGACTTCTAAAATATAACTGGAAGGCTCTGGTCCAACGCCCTTTTTGCTGATTTCAGTTGGGGTCTATGGAACCAGAAAGTACAAATAGCTCTCTTAAAATTGAAGGTGTTTGTGCTCCAGACGAAATTGGATTCTGTCTAGGCAGCAGGTGTGTTCATGTGTACAAAGCAAAGAACAACATAGTGGCAAACTGAGGAACACTTGACTTACCTGGGGAAAGGTGAGTGTTATTGGAAACCAAGGCGTAGTCTCGCCAAACTCCAGAGTTTGGAGTTTGCTAAGGCTAAGGACAGAATCCGCGTGGCGCTATGCCCTTCAAGGATCTAAACTTATTGAAAGACCAATAAATAAAAGTGAATTTATTCTCTTGTATTTTTTTAAATGCCTTTCATTTTCAAAGCTGCTTGTCTTTGCACAGAACTAAATGCAGAGGCAGTCAAACTAAATCTGGATACCTAGTTTTTCAAATATTGGTGAACTAACTGGAACTTATTTTTTATTTAGATGGAAAGGGGAAAATGTTGCAACTACAGAGGTTGCTGAAGTTATTGGGAAGTTGGATTTCATACAGGAAACAAATGTCTATGGTGTGACAGTGCCCGGTATGAATATATTTCATGTTTTGGAAGGATTCTCAGCATAGAATGTGCTATTACTGTTATTTAGTTTTGCAGTAATCTTACTAACTTATCATTTTATTTTTTATATTTTAAAATAAATACCTTAGTTATTTCTTGCCAAGTAATACCCTAGACTAAGCAAACAAACTTTATGGTTACTTCAGGACAAGGGACCCACTGAATTTTAATGTGTTTGTGTAATTTTAAACAAAGTCTGAAAAGCTTTCTGGTGACTCACTGCACTGCTGGAAAATAATTACAGCTTTTCAATTGTCAATTATTCTTCTCTTTATGGTTAGGATTTCTAAGTTCCACTAAGTGGGAATCTATTCTAGTTTAAATGTTTAATGCCATTGAATTGCAGTTAAGCTGAATCTTCTCTTGAAAATATTTTGAGATCTGTGTGGCTTCATTTATCTAAATATGCACGATAGTTTCGTGATATTGAAAATGACAAAATAACCCACATGAAGACACAGGACAGTTGTTTCTGTTAATATCTATATCTACATCTTATCTATATACACACACACACACACATACACACACACATACACACACAAATGATAGTATTTTCCAATTAATATACATAAATGCAAGGAGCACTGGGGTTGGGGGAGTGTTTGGATAAATGGCAGAGAAAACTGGTTACTCCCCTAGCCAGTGCTAGAGAAATGCAAAAGAAGATTCTTATCTCCTGGAGAAACTCCTAGGTGGTATGAATAACAGTAAGCAATCTGTGGAATCAGTTATGGAAATACAGTTTCTAGTTTCTTAACTAAAAGATACGCACTTTATTTTTTGCACTGATGCTAAATATGGTCATTTGCAAATAGGGGTTTTAAATAAATGTTTCTTGTTCTATTATTTTATGTTAATGATAGTAGGATGCAAATTATGGACCCTGTACATGATAGTGTAAGATAGTTAGGGATACTCACTACCCTTCTCTTTTCCTAAATTATTTCTACTAAGGAAATCATATGCTCAGGGAAAGACCCACCCATTTATACTACTGTTGTGCTGTTATTCCTGCTGCAGATTTGTTATCTCTATTTCTAACTGCTGTAATTGGTATGTGATTGCATCAATTATTGTGTAATTAACAGGTTTTCAAACTTTTTCCTCCCTTCCCCCAGAGTATGAAGGAAAAACTGGAATGGCTTCTATTATTCTAAAACCAGATAAGTCTTTAGACTTGGAAAAGGCTTATGAACAAGTTGTAACATATTTACCAGCTTATGCCTGCCCACGATTTTTAAGAATTCAGGTAATTTTACTGACATACATCTCTAATGGGACAATGGATGATGTCGTGTTATTTTTAAAGCATTTTCTAAGCTCGCTTATAGCCAAGTCATTGCTTGGTAAATAGGACAATATTTTAACTGTCATAAATATGCATTTCATGTGTATTTTAAAAAATTGAATAACTATCACATGTATTGCCTCATATATATTTCAGAATAACCTTCTGAAATACTAAAGGTAAGTAAATATGAAACAGAAATAATACATGTTAATGTGAGTGGTATTTAAATTATTATAGTTTTGCATGAAGTTGTCTGAAATAAGTCTGTGTATCCTTTCCTCAGTTTTCTCTAGTGGTAACAGTTCACAAAATTGTCACAACCAATACATTTACTTAGATATAATCTGCATATTTTACTGAAATGTATTATTTAAAATATGCTCACTTGTGTGTGTCTGTGCTTTAAGTCCTGTGTACTCTCATACCTGTGTAGCTTCATGTATTAATAATCAATAGTCAAGATGTGAACAATTCCATAAGGATCCCTCACTTTGCCCTTATTTAACCACATCCATCTCCATCAGACCTCAGAAACAAACTATTTTTATGGAATATAGAATTGATAAATAAAATAATAATGTATTTTTCCCCCTCTAGCGCAAATAAACTCACTAAACAAAAAAAATCCATAGAACTAGGTCAAACTTGCACAAATTTAAATAATCATCTTAGCATTTTAAACACCAAAAAAACAATACAGTTATGTTTATTGCAGTATTTGGTATAGTTAGCTCACTGGAAGGTACTTAGTTGGTGGTCCAAATGAATTATAATACATTATATGATATAAAAAATGCTGAACGATGCTGCTTCTGATAAAATAAATAGAACAATGCCCTGTTAAAAACTTTTGTAGCACAAATTTTAGAAAAGGATTTTTTTTACCAAAAAAAAGTGACAATATCCAGTATGACTGGGGTGAAATTAAGTTGGTTCTTTCCCCCTGTTTATGGAAATACAAATTGCTATAATTTCTTTAAGCTATCGTTTAGGAATATAGAGCCACATTTTTAGAATTTACATGTTTTTTGACTCCGTAATTTTATTTCCAGAATAATCTATAGGAAGTAATCAAAGATGCAAAATGTTACATAAAGTTGTTCTTCAAACTACTGCTTATTATCATAAAAACTTTTGATATTCTCTATTATTTCAAGAATAAGAGCAAGTTAAAGTGTCATAGTTAAATGAGATATCCGAAACCATTAGAAAGTACTGTTTTAATGGAAATTACCTGACCTGGGGAAATATATCTAGTATGATTTTTTTTAAAAAAAAGGCAAAAGCATCATATTACACAAATACTGTGAACTTCTATTCTTCAAAAAAAGAAAATGAATATGTTTCTACATAGTCATATCTAATTATCTGATGACAGTGTTGGAGAGGAGAGGGGAGTGTGGACTGGGTGAAGGAAAAGAGATTCAAAGAGAATTTGACTTTGGAATTAGTCCAGATAGATGAATAAAAATGGCCCACATTACTCATAAAACTTTACATTGATTTCTTCATGTCATCTCATTTAAAAACAAGGTTTCTTGGGCTCTTCCTGGTGGCACAGCAGGTTAAAGCACTGCATTATAAAGCTTTCAGAAGCACTGCAACACCAGTTCGATCCCCCACCAGGGAGCTGACCCACATGGTGTGGCAGACCTCTTCTGACCCGCCCACTGCTCCCCTCAGCAGTGTATTTTGTTAATCTGCCTGTTCTGCTCCCTACTCTGTCTCTGGTTAATCCTCACACCCACCATACCTCTGGCTTGTACCCCAGTTCTATAAGCATAAGTAAATAAATCTTAAAAAAAAAAATTGGTTTATTTTGCATACCTGAAACTATCACTAAGATACCTTTTACCTCCTTTATATTCTTAAAGCAGAAATCCTTAAGCTTTCTAAATTCATGACATTTTTAGTGTCTGTATAATTTTTTTTCATAGCATTTGGGCCAAAACAAAATCTAAATATAAGTAGTTAGGTAAAAACAAATTACTAAGTATTTTGGCCTAACAATGTGTTTCTTGAAAAAATAATGCATAAAAAATGTAAAACAATACTTTTTCACTTTTAACCAGAAGTACCAAGAAGATTTAAGTTGGGCATTACACCATTCTTCACACCTTGGAGTTACATTGAATTAGCTAAGACCATGTTGATATTTTGGCTGTACTTGCTTTTCTTTTTTTCTTTTCTTTTTTTTTTAATCGGAGCAAACTCTGAGCCCCCACCCACTTTGTTTTTTTTACAAATATATGACATCATTTTAAAAAGAGTATCACAACTAATAAAACTATAAATTACCTTGAGCTAGTAGTTTGAGATTGGTGGCCAACAAATGTCACTAGGTTTGCTTTGAAAAGTGAAAGTATCCCTTGCAGACTCTGGAAATTCCCTGAAATACCACAAGGCATCTGACTGGGAAATCAAGCTGTAGAACATTCATTACTCCCTCTAGTAAAGTAGTACTCTGCCTTATGAAATAGATTGGTCTTTTATAACAGATTGTCTTGGTGTCTAATAGCACTTGGTACAAAATACTGTAATGACATTGAAATGAAGGGTTAAACTATACATTTTAGATTATTTCTAATTAGTTGCTGGTAAACCAAGCTAAACATTTAAATGTTTACTTCTAATTTATTTTTCCTTCTAATGTTATGCTAAATATAGAGATGATCATTGGACTTAGAAATGTTGTTAAAATATACACTAATATTTAACTATATGTTATAGAATATTAAATGCCAGATACCACTAATTTTGGTAATTGCTTTATAGGAAAAGATGGAAATGACAGGTACATTCAAACTACAGAAGTTTCAGTTGGTAGAAGAAGGATTTAGTCCACTGAAAATTTCTGATCCACTTTACTTCATGGATTCCTTGAAGAAATCTTATGTCCCACTGACCAAAGAACTTTATGATCAAATAATGAATGGGGAGATCAAACTCTAAGTTTTTTATATATGGGATTTTCATACGCTTTGTTAGGTGAGGTGACAGGCGAGCATGTAATTCTTTAGTATGAAATAGGGAAAGGGAACTTAAATTGAGCTTGTGCTACATTTTCCTAATATACAGTAGCGTTTCTAAGTGAAAGCTTTCCTCTGATTTAATTGATTACAGATGTTATTTGATTATTCTTTTTAACTATTTGAAGATTCAATGAAGAACTAAAGATGTGCCTTAATCTTGAAATTTTAAATGACAAGTCACTAAAAGTGTACTTCTTAGTATTTAAAGTTTAAAATTTTGAATATATGATTTAATTGTGCTGAAGTACTTGATTTTTATGGAACCTGTCCTATTACTCAATAAAACCTTCATTGATAATGCTTGAAGTTTTTGTTCTGATTTTTAAATTATTAACTTTCAAGGAAGAACTGTTAAATATATCTTCTCATGTCACCCTTATCTTAAATGCCCATTAAAATGGGCATTTATAATGTATACACACACATACAGATAAAACAACAGAGTAGGAAAACTGGTAAGCCTAAAGCCCTTAGGAATTTTTGAGAGATATACAAGCAAGATCATCACAATAAAATCAACAGACTTTTCGAAATCACTAGTTACACATAGTTATACATAGAAAGAATAAATTAGAATAGGATCCTGATAATACTCCTAAGATCAGAGGCACAACAGGCTTTGAGGTTGAACAAATTTTTGAAATTTGAGAGATGTATCACAAGGACAATTATACTTAATCTCAATTAGGAGTCTCCAGGCTCAGTTGTTTCCTTTGAGCTAAAACCACACAAATGACTATCTTAATAAAATGAGCCATCTTCCGCAAGAGGGAATTGTGGGACTGGGCTCAGAATGGAGTAGTGCCAGCAGAAAACTGCTTTGCCATAAGCTTGGCTTCCTGAACAGCCAGTCTTAACACAGCCCAGTCAAGGCTACACAATCTGATCTGAGATTTGAGCTGATGCCCAGGAGAATAAATTTATGGTTTGAATCCAACCACTTTAATTGCCTGCTTACACAACAAAAAATCAGTGCTCTACAGAAGAATATAGCATTCACAATACCAGGGATTTTTTTCAAAATTACTAAATATGAAAACAAGCACATTTATTCTTAAGAGAAAAGACAATGGAGAGTGAGATATCCTGGATGTTGGAGTTAGCAGGAAAGGATTATAAAGTAGTTATAACAAATGTTTGTTCTTAATGAAAATATTGGACATCTCAAAGAAATAATAACTGTAAGAAATTAATCAAAAGAAAACTCAAGCCTGAAATATACAATAGTAGATATCTAAATGTTCATTTTGGCTAGTCAGCAGAATAGAGATGGCAGGACAGAAATCAATAAACTTGAAGAAAGAAAAAGATAAATTATCTAGTTTAAAAGAAATTTTTAAAAGATGAAGAAAACAAAATTGTAATTAACAGTGGAGAAATATTATAAGTGATATTGGATTCCAAGAAGTAGAGATGAGAGAGACATTTCTGCAAGTTGACAAGAGACAAAATGTCAGTATTTAAGAAACCCAGCAAACCTCAACCTGGAAGAATGAAAGTATTGTACCTATGTATATCATGCTAAAACTACTGGAAATCAAATGTAGAAGGGAATTCTTGACCGTAGGGAATAAAACCAACACATTACTTTAAAAAAATCCAATGGTTGGAATTACAACTGACTTCTCATCAAACTGTGAAGGAAATAAATGGAACAATAATATGTAAGCAGTAGATGAACAATTGCCAAGTCAGAATTTAATATGGAGCAAAATTATCCTTCAAGGATGAAGGTGAAATATACAGTTTCATCTAAAAGAATTCGTATCCAGAACCCCGTAATAGGAGAAATGTTAAGGCAGGTTCAGTAAACCAAAGAAAAGTCACAGCCAGTGGAAACTATCTATTGCAAGGAATGAAGACTATTGCAATGGTGAGTATAGAGGAAAATGCAATAGATAATTTTATTTATCTTAATTTTAAAAATGCATAAAACTGGCCCTCCCTGGTGGTGCAGCGGGTTAAAGC